GGGAGAAACTCCACTGGTGCCAAGCAGACACTAAGAGAAGCAGACCGGCAGACTGTTACAATGCACTGTTAAATCCATACTCAGATATTAAGGCAACAAAAAAGAACTTGTCGCACGTCACATGAAGTCAAGATGGACCTGGGCAGAGCCTGTTTTTATCCTGTGCTTTGATTATGAGATCTTCCAATGGTTGATTGCTGCCAACCACTTGTATCTAGCCTTGGCTCTCCCCAAAACTCCAGACCCATAGAAACACAACTCTTAGACACCTCCTCTAGGCTATCTCCAAAGCTTAATTCCTGACATCTAACTTAGAGTACCAGTAGCTTTTCTCACAGCACCAATTTTTCTTCCAGCACTTCCTAGATTAACAGTTGATGTCATCATCCATCTAGTTCCTGAGCCAGCAGCTAGGGGAATGGTGTCCAATACCTGAACACCAGTCCTACCACTTCCCAGCTGTGACCTTGGACAAACCAAATAAAATATATGAACTCAGGTTCTGCCATCTAAAAACTGAGGTAACAGTATTACCTCAAAAGATAGCTGTGACATTGAGAATAAATAAAATAAATGATGTTATTAACAAAAAAAGATAGTTGTGAGCACTCAGTTAATGTGCACAAAATGGTAAGAACACAGAAAGTGTCTTTGTATATGTAGTTCTGTTACTTTCATATCTGCCCCTCATCACTGCTCCCTTACCTGGTTAATACCCCTGCTTTCCTTCTGTGATGGTTTGAATGAAAATGTCCTCCATAGGCTCCAAGTATTTGGACATTTTGTTCCCACATGGTGGTGCTGTTTTGGGAAGTTTTGGAAGGTGTGGTTATCCTGAAGGAAGCACATCACTGGGGGGTGGGCTTAGAGAGTTCTTAAGCCTTGTCAGATCTCCAGTCGCTCTCTTGCTTCCTGTGCCTGCTTGATGATGTGAGAACTTAGCTTCTGCTGCTCCTGCTCCAGCCACCTCCAGCTACCTCCAGCCTCCCTGCCATAACAGACTGTAATTCCCCTGGAACTGTAAGCTCAAATAAACTTTCTTCTATAAATTGTTTGGGTCAGTGTTTCTATCACAGAAACAAAAAGTGACTAATACACCTTCCCACTTCAATCCATGTCACTTCCAACAGAAGCCTTCTTTGATCAGCCTCTACCTGTAAGTCTAGGTCATAGCCCACTCCCATTTTTCATCATCAAAGTGCTATAATTTCCTTTCACATAACCATACATTGACTTTGTGATGGCTTGATTAATAGTCATCTCCTACAATAGCCTGAAATTTCCATGAAAGGTGAGGACTGTGCATGTCACACCTCATTTAACACAATACCTGGCACTTAACAGGTGTTCACTAAATATATGCTGTCTGAAGGGTTGGCAAAGCATGCCTCTCAGCAGAAAAGGAGGCCTACAGATCAGAAGAGAAGTCACAGGACACCAATCCCAGTGAGAGTTCATTCATGGCCTTACTTCCTGGGGCTCAGCAGAAAGGTCAGCAAGCCCCATTTGACCCCCTGCAAAGCCAGGATTCAATGTTGGCTTGACCACTGTTCTACGCATTCAGGATTTCATCTCTACAGAAATATAACATACCCTGTAGGAACCTGCAGGACACACCCTGAAGAGTTTGGTAAGGAATCCCTTAGTGCTTTCCCTAATGTAAACATGCTTCGGCAATATGTGTGATTCTAGTGTTTAAAGGCATGTATTTTTATACCGCGGAATTGCTAAAATGCAGCCAACTACTACATCTGGGGCTTGGCTGAAGAAACAACTACCTGTTCCAACTTGGGGATAAAATTGAGCTGTGTTGGCCTTAAGAGAGAAAAGTGCACATGTGGGTGTGGATGTGGGAGTGGGAGTGTGTTGGTGGGTGGGTGTGCCCGTGTCCATGCACACACATGCATATGTTTGCCAAGTTTTCCAAGCAGGCCTCAAACTCACTATGTACAGATGATGTTGTATTCCTGATTCCCCTATCTCTACTTCCCAACTGCTGGGATTATAGGTGTGTACTACTAATAACAAACATTCAAGAATATTTGGAGGGAGGGCTGGAGAGATAGCGTAGTGGCTAAGGGTACTTGCTGCTCTTGCATAAGACCAGGGTTTTAAACCCAGCACCCACATGGTGGCTAACAATTGTCTGCAACTTTAGTTCCAAGGGATCCAATGCCCTCTTCTAGCCTCTGTGGGCACGAGGCTCACACAGTGCACATATATACATGCAAACATTCATATACATAAAATAAATATAAATATTTTAAGAATAATTTGAGGATGAGGATATACCTCAGTAGTAGACTCCTTGGCTGGCATGGGCAAGGCCACTGGTTCCATGACCAGTAACACAGACACACAGACACACACACACACACACACACACACACACGCAATTTTTTAAAGATTTATTTTTATTTTATGTGTTTGAATATTTTGTCTGAGTATATATATGCACCATCTGCATGCCTGGTGCCTGCAGAGGCCAGAAGAGGGTATCATTCCTCCTGGAACTGAAGTTATGGATGGTTGTGAGCCACCACATGGATTCTGGGAACTAAACTCAGATCCTCTGTAAGAACAGCAAGTGCTCTTAACCACTGAGCCATCTCTCCAGCCTTGACACAAAAAGAACTTTTATGACACCCAATATTCTTGCTATCAACATCTTTCTTATGGGACTCTAACGTTAGGCTAACTACCGAAAAGTGTAGACTTTCACAATGGACTTGCCTGGGCTCAGATTCTGGCTCTGCCACAAACTAGTTATGAATTAATCTTAGACTAGATGCATGACCTCTCTCAGGCCTTCATCTAGGTACAGCAGTACCTAGAGCTTATGGTTACAGGAAATATTACATATATTACATATGGCTGAATTATCTAAGAGAGTTCTTTGCACACAGAGTACTGCTTTAGAAGATCGAGTTCTGTGATATAGCTAACAGCGTCCTATCCCTAGAAGGTATTCAGTGAACTGCAGGCTCTTCTTCAGACTGTTTATTCTCTTTCAAACTAGCAGCCCAATTCTTTATGGGAGTGTCCGAGTCAACTCTTCTATTTTGGGTAGAACTGTCTTGCATAAATGATCCATCTTCCTGAGTTACACAATTGAAATGCTATACAAACCACCACCCACTTCCTTTTGTCTTTCATGTTAAATAATAAACCTAATTTTTTGATAATTTCTCCCGTGAAGACACAGACCCACAAATAGACAGACACATGCACGCACACACGCACACAAACCTTTAATGATATAATTCCCCCACAAGAGAACTTACAGATACTACACAAGACAACACTTACAGACACAGGGGTGGAAATTAGAGTTCTTCATCCAAAGGAAAACCCTGGAGAATCAGAAGCTGAAATTATCTAAGTTGTGGTATAAGCAAAACAAACTGATTATCATTATACTTATGCCAAAATAGTTTGTATTATATGTAAGAAGTAGTAGCTTTTACTTGTAAAGCAACTATTTTCCAAATAGCATTGTCTGAGGCCCTGAGAGAATATAGAACTGCTGCAGCCTTTCAAAAGCTTACCATATAATTGGAAGCACAAAGCAAGTAGGAAAACAGTTCATTAGGCACTGAATGAGTAATAATAAAGAGTAAGGCAAACACAAGACAAGCTGCTTTAGAAAAACGAAGCTCTCCTGAAGAAGGTGCCTAATTAAGTAGATGAAGGGGAAAGAATACTTTAGACATACTAAAGACCAAGAACCAAACTCTGCTTTATTCTAGAGACTGAAAAGGTGGATAGAAACAAACATAGAAAAGATAGAAGGAAATATACAAGCAAAAGAACCAAAAGTGTAATGCTTACATGAGAAGTTTTATAACTTCCCTACAACAAAAAAGGGTCTATTCAAAAGCCGTGTTCCTCAGGAGAGGACAATGAAATCTCTGTGTCATCAAACAGAAGGACAGAATAGTTGGAGGAGAAAGAAAAGAAGTAAGTGGGGATGTGGGGGACAGGAAAGGACCATGGAGGGGGGTAAGGATAAAGTATGATATATACATATGAAAAGGTTACAGGCATGGTGACCCATGCCTGAAATCTCAGCTCTTTGAAAATGGGGGCAAAAAGATCAAGAGTTCAAGGATTTTGAGGTCATGTTGAGCAATGTGACATCCTATCTCACCCCACTCAAAAGTAAAAATGAAATTGTTGCAATGGAACCCATTACTTTGTATGCTAGCTATAAAAACAATAATTTCAAATGCCATATTTTTTTAAGATCCTATATTTTTAAATTTTATTTATTTAATGTGTATGAGTGCTATGCCTGCATGTACGTAAGTACACCCATGTCATGCAATGCCTGTGGAGGCCAAAGAGGACGCTGAATCCCCTGGAACTGGAGTTATGGATGGTTGTCAGTCACCATGTGGGTGCTTGGATTCGAACCCAGATCTTCTGCAAGAGCAGCCAGTGCTCTTAACTGCTGTGCCATCTCTCCAGACCCTGTATCTTTATGTTTTAAGATTTATTTTTATTTTTAATTATGCGCATATATGCATGTCTGTATGTGGGTTATGTACACATGAGTGCAAGAAGAGGGTGTCAGATCCCCTGGAGCTAGAGTTATAGGCAGTTATGAGCCACATGACATGGCTGCTGGAAACCAAACTTGGGTCCTCCGCAAAAGTAGTACATGCTTGTAACCACTGAGTCATCTCTCCAGTCCCTTATTTTTTATTTTTATCTTTACTTTTATTTATGTGTATGTCTGTGTGGCTATGTGAGTGTATGTGCATATGTATACTGGTTCCAAAGAAGACCAGAAAAAAGCATCAGATTCTCTGGAGCTGGAGTTACAAGGGGTTGTGAGCAGCCCGACATTGCATGCTGGGATTGGAATTCGGGTCCTCTCCAAGAGTAGTAAGCTTACTCAAGTACTGAGCCATCTCTCCAGCTCTAAATGCCATTATTTCCAAAATCAAAATCTTTTCTCAATTCTGTCATTGACATATGCCCACATCATCACTTACCCGAATAAGAGATGCCTGGCGCCGAAGGGGTTTGGATCCTGGACCCCCTGATGAGGGTCCTTCAGACTGGCCAAGGGGCTGTCTGGCTTCATAAGGAGCTGAAATGAAAAGGAAAGTTAAAAGGGCATACAAAAATTCCACTATAAAATTATTGTTTGACATTCAAATGTTTATAGCATCTGATTTTCAGAGGAAAGATGATAAAGGATTAGAACTTATATTCATAGAGCCACCAAAGACAGACAAATCCTGATCCTCCTGCTTCTACCTCTACAATTTCACTAAATAATCTCAAGACCTCTAACCACTATCATGATAAAACAAAAAAATATTTGCATCAGTTTAAGATTAGGAATAATATGTGAGGCTATGAAAACTTCAACTAGGACTTAGAGATAATAGCTAGGAAATTGTCACATTACATGTATTCAATTTCTAGTCCTGTTTCCTGTGGTACCTTGGACCATGCTCTGAAGTGATAGAGATCACTCATGTGTTAGTTGGGCTCTTCATGCTTTTTGTGTTTATTGATGGTTTTCAGGATGTGAACCTTTAACATAACCTACAATGGATACTGGTTGTAGGTCAGAATATAAACAAAATCCTGATTTGAACAACAAGCCTTATGAACTGCATCTTGGAACTAGCCACACTGTGCCTGGAGTTCTGGTGGACTATTTTAAGCTCCTTTATCCTTTCTTCTCGTGGAATCAAAACTGAAGCATGTCCTGGGTTTACTCTCATTGAAACCTCTATCACTTCAAAACCAGGGAATAGTGGTTCCTTACCAATTTCATGCTATATTCAAAGAAAGTTTACATTCACTTATGGGGAGAAAAGTAAAAGGGAACAATAGCCTTGGATTAAAAAAAATCAAATGGAAAGACTCAACTTCACATCTAGCAGAAAACTAAGAAAGCCAGAATAATTTTTCCCTGGTAGAATACGTACATTCCAAACCTCCCTAGTAAGTACAGGAACTAAGCTATAAATTTTGGATGGAAAGGCAACCTTACTGACCCTGAGATTTTGGCTGCCTGAAGATTGCACTGCCTATTTGAGGTTGGCTTAATGCCAATAGATATCATCCATACCTATTTTAAAAGTTATCATTTTAAATGATGAGCTTTTTCTGCAGGCCATACTTAGGAACCCTTTTGGTGGAAGAGGGAAGGAGTGTTCTCAAATTTTAAATTTTCAATTAAGGCACTTTTAAAGTTTTCTAATTCTTTTTTTAAATTATAGACATCAAATTCTAGTTATATGGTACCTTGTGTATACCTCCCTATTCAAATGTATTCCATTTATCATCTACCTCGCATTAGGTGCTTTGAACACTAAGAATAAACATTATCATTTATTTTTGAAAAACAAATGGCAGTTTTCCTCATTCTATCAAATGCAAAACCAAGTAGACAGAAACACAAAAAGGGAATAAGTGTATTGTATGTTTATTTATTCCACTAGTCAAAAACCAAACTATTTTAAAATGATTTTGCTACCTTTAAAATTTTTTCCTAGAGAAAACCCTATCTCTTTCATGTCTCTAGACAGATGAAATTTCTACCATATGCTAAATATGTATCCTTATACTTACAAACATACAGTATACCACTTACCAAAGAAGCCTCTTTTTGCAACAGATGGCTACTGCAGAATTCCATACAACTGCTCAGACACAGAGTATATCTGAAAGATGCCCAGTAGGGGATACATCTACAATTGAACCTCTACACCTAAGGCTCATGGAACACAGCAGAATAAAGAGTAGAGAGAAAACTAATGCATCCCTCAACTCTCACCAGTAAAGCTTCCTTGTACAACAAAGTGTGATGCACATGGAAGGCCAACTGGCCAAGCTGTAAAAAATAAGAGACTGCAGAGTGTAGGATAGGACTCCTATATGGAATCTCATCCATCCACCGCTCAGGAACCACTGTGGAAGAGGGGGTGGAAAAATTGTTAAGAGCCAGGGCTGGTTCATGAACACAGGGAATCAGAGCTTTCAGGTCATTGGAAGCTTGCACATGTGAACTTGTGGCAATGGTTCATCAAGCACAGGACTGATGCCAACTCAATTAAACAAGGGCTCAGAGGGGAGGAGAGAAATGGGTGGTGTGCCAGCCCTAGACTGAGAAATATTGGAGACTGGTTGCTACTAGGTGAGGGAGAGTATGCCTTACATACGATCTCTAGATGGGCTGACTAGACTCTAGTGGACGAATTTACAATGAAGGACATCTGGGTACAAATGCTTGACTGGATAGGACTTAACATCTATAGCGAAATACATGAGGTCTGGTGGGAGGATGGGGGTGTGTGTGTATGGGGGGGTCTAAAGTTGATTAAGAACTGTTGTATGAAATCACAAAAGCTCAATAATTTTTTTTAAGTTTCTAAGATATAAAAATGAATGTTATTGTTTTACTCCTTTTATTTCCAGAACATATAATAATGGCCTTGGCAATATGGTAGGAAGACAGTTAAATATAAGCAGGTAGTAGTATTTCACTCCAACAGAAAAGAGAAATTATCACCCATGTTGAAACCATTTCTCATCTCTGTGGGCTAACAGCTTGAGGGCTGGAAATATATAAATATGTAAACTGTGTGTTCCTGTAGCTTGCTTATAAATAAAATTGGGTGGAGAGCAGAGGTGGCTGTTATGGCACTACTTTTTGGCATGGTTTGATCATTTTAAAGTAAGGACGATACAACAATAGCACACTAGGAACACTAAACAGGCCAGCCATCATGCGAACCACTCGGGCTCACATCTGCATTTGGTATTTCTTCCTAGCAACTAGAACACAAAATTATAACACATTAAAATATCTGAATGATTTCTTGGCAAAGTATTAAGTGCATTATAGAACCTACAAAGAGTAGATACCAGTACAAAAACTACAAAAGAAACATGCATAGATAGCACACAATCTAAGTCTTCAAAAGCAATTTTCAGCTGGTAGGTAAGCATTGTCTTCTGAAAAAAATTTTTAAATCATTCCATTTGATAGAATACTAGTTAAGCCTGTAATACCAACTGTACCTTACAAAAGGGTATAAGTACGATAAGCAGAAGCATGGCTAGGGTCCTAGTCATCAGGAGCTCTAGTGAAACCAGTACCAATTGCCATAACAAAGAAGGAACAGCTACTACCCAGAGGAGACCCATGGGAGAGGAGACCATGATGTGCTGCTCTCTCAAATCCTTCTCCTACAGGGGGCCTCCTATAGAGAGACAGATATATTTCACCAGTCAGGCTTGGATGGACACTCAGACAAATAAGGGCTCACTTTGGAGAGTCAGATTTACTCCTCCTACTGCAAGGGAAGCCTAGGCTGACCAAGCTTACCTGTGATCAGAAAAGTGAGTATCTGAAATCCATTCAGTCACATATCTGAGGTACGTACTCCATTCTACTATCTGAGAAGCAAGGGTGCTATCCGAGGACTGGAGGGATGGCTCAGTTGTTAAAAGCACTGGCTGAGCACCTGGGTTCAGTTCCCAGCACCCACATGGCAACTAACAACTGTCCATAACTAGTTCCAAGGGATCCGATGCCCTCTTCTGTCTTCTGCAGACAATGCACAACACAGGTACACTTACATACATACAGGAATAACACTCATAGACATAAAATAAAAATAATAAATAAATAAATAAATAAATAAATAAATAAATAAATAAATAATAAATAAATAAATAAATTTTTAAAGAGCTGATATTCTGGCCACCAGCAATTTTATTTCTGGGTTACTTGTCAATTGAAACTGAACTCAGGAGGTAAAAAGGTACATATTTATTTAGTGCCTCAACTCTCTTTCCTCCCAAATGAAATTCAAAAGATGCAACTCAAAAGGAAACCAAGTAATTCTTTTACAAGAGGTTTAATATGGAAGGAGACAGACCATCTTTCCCCAAGGAGAGGAGTATTTTTTAAAACCCTGAAGATTTAACTACTTTGAGGTTCAGTATCAAGTGGAAATACTTTGGCTGTTTCTTACTGCTCCTCGGTGCCAGGAAAATTGTAGAATAAGTCACAAAAAGACTCATAAACAAATATTTATAGAATTCGTATTAATAAAAGACAAACACACAACCCAAATGCCCAACGGGAGAATCAATACATGGTACATCCATACAATGACATCTACAGAACAATAAGATGGAAGGAACTGCCAATACAATATGAATTTCAGCTGTTCTATTGAGAAGAAAATAGACAAGTATGAGTAGAATCATTCTGTATGTTTCCATTTCCATGAAGTTCTAAAAGAAATAAAACTAACCAACAGTGATAAGATCAGAACAGTGCTGCATTTAACAGTAGGGAGTGACTGGAGAGGGGCATCTGTAGTGTAATGGGATGGTTTTACTTCAGTGGTAGCTCCGTGAGCATATCCATTTGTTAAAATGCAAATTAAAAACAAAATATGTGCACTTACCATACATAGATTTTACCTCTCCAAAAAAACAAATCTAAAAAGGAATGAGGGCATACACAGCCTTAACATCAGCTTCTTAGAGTCCAGAAAGGAGAGAAGCAGGCTGCCTCTTCAGTGCTGCAGGAATGTGAGCCCACTTTGGATGGAATGACAGGATGGGGCAGGAAACAGACAGGCAGGATTTTTAAGGAATATCGAAGGCAGAACTTAATGATAGGCTGACTTAGTGGAACACAAACAAATTTACCTGTGCTAAACATTAATTTCAAAGCACAAATTAGATTTGAAATAGAAAAGAAATCCACTTATATAAAAAGATGAATCTGGCAAGGGAAATTACAAGAGGAAAATGCAAACTTCTCAACCCTGTGCAGTTTCAGGCACCAATGAGATCGCCAAGTTTCAGGAGAGCAATTTTTTTTTTTTTACTATCCATTAGCAATACCAACTTTCATTGCCTAGGACTTAATTTCCAAATGATTTTACATGCATATTCCCACTGAATCCCCCTAATACCCCCATGATACTATTTTTAAAAGGAAAAATATAGCTCCCAGCAGCACAGTGGCTTGCCTGAAGCCATACAGCTAGCCTCAGAAAACCAACCTTCTGCTTCCAATCCAAAGCCCTTTCCATCATTCCATACCTGCTTCTCTCCGCAAAAGGACAGCCTCTCTGTAGTTCAGCCTAGCACACATTTTTATTTCTGTGACCCTCTAAAAGTCACCGTTTTTTTCAATGCAGCAAAACCCTGCAGAAACTGGGTCATTTCTACCACAGCCCACAAAATGGTGAGGGAGGCTATAGGACATCCTATTGTAGACTACATTAAATTGTTCATATCTTAAACTAGAAGCAGGAGCTCCTGAAGGACAAGGTGCTGCGGTAAATCTATGGAGTTTTAAACATTGCAGTCTGGCCAGCCAACTCTGCAAGTCATTCTCAGAACCAACATATTTTACCACTGACATGTCCAGCAAAGCATAAATGTGAGCAAGCAGGCAACCCCGTAACTGTGCATGAAGCATGCTTCTCAGCAAAATGCTTACCCCCAGCATTTACCTTATCTTTGTTTTAAACATAAGAGCTCAATGTTTTCATTTATGTCCTCAATCATTAAAGATTGGATCAATTCCTTTGCTTCTGCATAGTTATCTTTTTAAAAGAAATTTCAGGAAAGCTGTTATTGTATAAATATGTTTAGTGTTCTTGCAGAAGGGAATAACAATTCTTTAAAAATGTAAACCCTTAGCATGCTACATTTCTGCTTAATGAAATTTGTATATGAAATATTAAATCATCTAAATAGTTGTTTCCAAGTCTAAAGATGAACCAGCTTCCAGTCTAGGAGACAAAGCAGTGCTGAGATATGCTTAATTTCATTTAAAAAAACTTTGCTTGAGAATATAAAATCAAATTGAACCATGTTTTCAAAGACAAGAGTAATTAAATCAGGAAATTAAGCAGCTGGTGGCATTGCTGCCTGGTAGATTAAGGAAATTCTAAGACATTGCCTGTGACAGCTGGCCCCCTGGTCGCCTCTTACCTGGATGCATCTGTTCTGTGCTGCTCCTCAGTTTGCTGTAGCCATGGCTCAAGGACACCCTCTGGTAATGAGGCGGGGAAGAAGGAGGGGAGGCGAGGGGTGACATCGTGGGAGACTGTGTTTCCTGCTTCAAAAAACCAAAGCAGAGTTCAGAGGCAACCACTAAAGAAGCCTGGCATTCTGAGCTGCAGTTTAGGGAGCAAAATGTGACTCTACAGCTGGTGACCTGGCTGATTTAATAAATGGGGAGAAATGTTTCATCAAAAATGCAGCATAGCTAAAAGGTAGTATCTGAGGATTCAAAACTCTCCTAGAGAATAAAGTCTCACCAATGTGAGTTACTTACATCATTAACACCAGCCTGAATGCTTTCAGTTGTCCCAACAATATTTTCTTTGGAAAATGAAAGACACTGATCACATAAAGTAACATTCCTACTCTTCAATTGAGGACAGATTCTGTCTTTATTCAATTAATAAAGACTCCTTCTGTAAAGACTCCTATTTCTTAGATTTATTGTTACCAAGTATAAATTCAGCAAATAAAATACAATTTTATTTTAAATCTTCAATGGTGGATATTTTGGGAGCTTACTATGATAAATTAAATGCCATGAGGGGGTGTTTGTTTCATACTGAGAGATTCCAAAACAAGGCCTCATGGATAAGCCAACTCCATGTAACTTACTCTGAAATACTAGGATGAAGACTTCACAAGGTACAAGTTGAATCCCAATTCAAATATGAACCTGATATAGGACTCCAGGCAAAATAAGCAACCTGAGCCTGCTGCTGAGTTTCTTCCTATTTTTCAACACTATCAATAGACTGGTAGCCTGAGGGTACCTGGGGAAGGATGCAGTGTTTCTTACAACATAGACACTATAATGGCTATGGCTTCTTTAATTTATATATATATATAATCTGAGATAGAAACTAGATCTGAAATTTTTCTGGGGCATCAGCCACTGTGGAACAGTGGATCCTCAGTCCTCTCCAAACACTGGTAAGGACACATGCTAAAGATTACTGACTACAAATTCCAATGTCTCTCCTTAATATACTTCTGAAATGATGAAAGCAACAGTATACAGTTGTTCAACAAGATGAGCTATGCCTCTATTAACTGTAAATGTAAAACTTCAGCCAGGCATGATGGTGTACACCTATAATCCCGGCACTCAGGAGGCATGGGGATCATGAGATCAATGCTAGCCTGGCAACACAGAAAGATGCTGTCTCAAAAAAGAAAAAAAACTGCAGTGATACCTTGGATATCCAAGACTATCAGGGTGAACCATGTAAGTTAATTTTCTAACATAACCCTTTAATACTTATTGCACGTTAAAAACATCTTGATTCAGGGCTGGAGAAATAGTGCAGCAATTAAGAACACTGACTGTTCTTGCAGAAGACCCGGATTCAAATCCCAGGACCCACATGGCAGCTAACAACTGTCTGTAACTACAGTTCCAGGGGATCCGACAGCCTCTTCTGTCCTCCATGGACATTGCACTACAGGGGTGCACTTATCTACATGCAGGCAATACACACATACACATAAAATAAAAATAATAAATAAATATTTTTTAAAATCTTGATTCAATTCTTCCTAAAATATAGCACATCTTTTTTACCTTACAGAAGACACTATGTTGAATATAATCTGGCTTCTCTGCATGTCCCTTTATCAGAAGAATAAGCTTTATACATTGACCAATACTCTGATGTCCTAGGGGTTTACTAATATGCAGCACTATTTCTCTCTTCCTGATAGGCCCACTCTCCTGGCATACTTTTGTCTCTATTAATCACCATCTGACTACTGCAATTAGTAGCCTGATTTTAAAAGTCTGTCCTCTCCTGATTCCAAACATGCTAAGTTGGTAATCACATTTATCAATATTTCATTCTACACGTTTCCTCCCCGCCAAAAGGAATCCCTGGTGAGTTTGGTGAACACAGGTCTCCGGGGTTCTTTATTATAGAATTTGTCAATATGCACTCTGAATTTCCAAGACTGATGGCTTAGTCTTTCCCCCAAGAATGGGACACTAGGCTATTTTCCAAACATGTTTAAACAGAGAATTTTTTCAGTCTTCTTTCTGAAGGAGAGCACTTATTAACTCCTAGAGTTTTATATTTCCTTTGTTTTTATTTTTCTTGTTTGTTTTTATGTTTTATTATATGTTATGTGTCAAAGGACCCATTTAGAAAACCAGTGACCTAGAGAAATCAAATAAGTATATTAAATTAATAGCCCAATTTTAGATACAATTCTATACTGAGGCAGATTCTAATGGGCCAGTGGGTGGCTCATAGTAATTCCTATGTGTCTGCCTCCTCTTGCTACAAGAAAACTTTCCTGGCTCACTTCCAAGTCTGTAATTGTGTTCCAGATGGCAAGATTTGCTGGAAGTCTGGCAACAGACCAGAAGCCATCCTATATGAGGTTTCACAGTCAGAATCAAATGAAGATGCCTAATCAGACTCTTTTACCTGTTTATCCTCATCATCCATTCTTTTGAAGGAGTTTTTTTCCGTGGTTAAATATGGAATCTGGACCTTAGTTCCAAGTAGCTCAGCTGGGTTCCCAATTCTTCTCTCACCATCACTCTTTGACATCACAAAGCGAGGCAGAGGTAATTCTTTAGAAGAGAATCAGAAAAGCTCAAGTGAGGATTTATGTTAAAACTGCAAGAAGAGGGGGAACTCAATGGTCAAAAATAAATCAGTTTTTGAGTAAAAAATTCATAGCACTAACTACAGTTTAAATTTTACTGTAGGCCATATTGAAGACTCCTATACTAATGTCATGATAGAAAAATGTGATGGTTTGATCAAGGTGTTCTGGCTTAACACTTCCAATGCTGATAAATCATCACAGAAAAAATTTAGGTTTGGAACTGATTTCCCACTTAATCCTTTGGAAAAAAATATATGAATTTTAACAAAATAATAAGCAACAAATGATAGCAGACAAAACTTATAAACGCTTGAATATGTTAGATTCGGGTTAAGGAACTGAAAATACTAGCTCATGTCATCCTCACAACAACTCTGTAAGAGGAAGCTGTTGTTATCAACTCTCTTTACAGGTGCGAAAACTGACAGGAAGGAGCTAATGTCCCCTAACATCATACAGCCCATTTGGGAGCAAGCCACAGTATGAACCAAAGCAAGAACTGTCTTGGATGTTTAACAGCCATACTTTGAGGCCTATACTAATCTGGTCAGAGGGACTTAAAGGACAGTTTTTGCTCCTTGTCCTCCAAGGTCGACTAAGTTCCGGGGGACTATGGAGCATCTCTCAAAATGTCCTGTAACTGTGGTGAGTCACCTGTCCTCTTGTTCAGGGAGGCCATGGAGACCCCACCAGATGGACTTGAACCAGTGTCCAGTCTACAAAGAGGAGGGTTAACACAGAGGAAACATTTCCTCCATGCTGTCAAGTGAAGCCAGCCATGGTTGAGTAGGACCTTTGACTTATCTTCACATAGATGGAACTGGTAAAAGAAAGGACCTGGGGGCTTCCCCCAGATCCTCAAATGACCTTAAGAGTAAAAAATAAATTGGTTTATCTGGGCCAATTGTAGGGTCTTAAACACCCAAAAGGAAAAAGATTAAAGGGGTCAATTAATTTTTTTAAGAGTCCATATGTATAGCTAAAGGCGACATAACAAAAAACAATAACAGACAGGAGATAACTTCCTTTGAGTCACTGGCCAGGGTGGCCCAAAAGACTCCCAGACAGTAAC